GCCTCGATTGCAAAATCACTGCCCCTGCCAGTGGATCAGGATGTCTCCGGGCAAACCTACGGTTTTCGCCGAAACATTACAAGGTATTGAATTTCACTAGTCACCAGTTTTTGGCCAGAGCGCCTTTGATCCAAGTGACAAGAGAGCCATATGGAAGATCCCTGATATCTACGTGCATGTAGGACGGATTGCAAGGTTTTCAAGAACACGCGCAGAACTTGGCCAGGAAGCTGTCACAACATATCCCCTGACCCAAGAAGTGAAGATCATCTTTAGACCTTGATTCCCTTTACTCAAAAAGCCAAATAAATTGTCCACACTTCAGCCGAAACCTTTGCTGAAGCACTATTCCAATCTGGAGCAGGGGGTGGAAAGGGGTACCAAAAAGAAAGATTCCACAAGGAAGCCCAAGAAGCCCTAGCAACTAACAACCCCGAAGCCGTGAACCCTTGCTAGCCTAAAGTCTCAACTTCTGAGCCCTTCACGCTTTGTTCATGATGTCCATGGCTCTCATGAACGAAGTGTTGCTAAGTGCTTCCAAATTTTGAATTAAGGGTTCAGGGTCTCAGGGTTTAGAACTTCCAGGAGCTTGAGGTGCTTGAGTTGTGATGCCTAGGAAGTCTTATCAGGTGATCGGCGCTGAGGGTTCACGGGTCGGGCTTAGGGCCTGCAGGGTTTAAGACTGCTGGGTTCAGGGCTGTAACCCTATGTAAGTCTGAACCAGACGAACCTGAGCACATGCCCGGTTGCAATGCCGGGAAGGGTCCTCCTGTTTAGACTCAAGCCGCATGCGTTTTGTTTCTTGCCTGGGGTGCAGAGTCTCAATGTCCTACTTCTCGCCGCGCAGCAAGCTTTAATGCGGTCGGGTGCGTACAACGAAGGACCGCATCAGAACGAACCCTTGTTGAGTTTATGCGGGGAATAGTGAGTCTGCAAGGACATGGCCAGAAGTGACTCTGGCCCCTTTGTTGCCAATCCGCCTCTGCTAATCGTTGGGCACCAGTCAGAACTTTGGGGTCCAGAAAGCGCGTGTCGTTGGGGGGTTGAAGTTTTTGAAGGACGCAGGGGCTGGGGTGGGGGGAGGGGGTTGGGCGACGTAAGGGAGAGGGGAAAAGGCTGGATCCTGCTCAGCTTGTTCCGGAGGCCGAGGCGGACATTTCATGTGCTGAGATGGCTTGGTGCTTCAGTTGATGCTCTCACAGGAGAACTCAGTGGCGCCCAGTCCTTTCTGCGACCTCAAGGACGCGGCCAAATTCCGTCATGCCACACGCTGACGTTATCAGAAGTTGGTTGCGTTGTTGCATGATCACCGTCCTGGCAACGAGCCTAACAGGAATGGTGGGTTCGAAAGGCGAGGGGCTTCAAAAGCCGGGATGATGGCTTGAATCGTGGCCCGGCGTTTCATGCATGCTGATTTCGTTGCCGTGAACACCTGAGCTTCTGCATGCTAGCTTCGAGGCATGACGATAAGAAGCTCGTCTGAAATTCTACTAAAAGATCTGTGGTGGCCTTATTGCAGCTTGGCTCCTTGCAATAAGGCTGGGACCGCATGCAGAGCAACTGCCAGGCCGCGGGAGAAGGGATGGGCTTTATGCAGACCCGCGTCTGTCTTGAGACTTGAGCAGGTTGAGTTGGATGAGCTCACCAAAGTCTGTGCTCTTGGAAAGGGGGCGTATGGCCAGGTTTGTCTGGTCGAGGACTCTGCATAACCAGTGATGAAACGGCTCTTGATCGTTGGAATTCTAAGCTCCTGCTTTGCTCCCATTGCTTTCACGAGGATGCGGCGCGGGGACAGCGATATGCGCTGAAAGCCTTGTCAAAAGGCTACATTGCCAAGCAGGCCAGCCCCAGCCCGCAGCCTGCCGCAGCACAGAGCAAAAGTCTCCTGCTTATGCAGGGCACGCAGCGCCTGGTCAACGGTGAGCGTGACCTCCATGCATTAGCTTGGCGAGAATGTAGAGATTGTAAAGAAGAGATGGTCTCAGATCTTTTGTGGCATTTTTGTTTACTTCTGACATGGGCTGGATCCAATGCAGCAGCACGCTTGCAAAACTTAGGCGAAATTCTGTCAATGATCGACAGCAGCTTCGTCATCCGTTTGCATCGGTCCCCTTGCAGCACACGGCCAACTGCGTGATTGTCTTGTCCTGTCCGACATCGCAAAATTATGGCATCGGAAATTTCAAGATACATTTACAACATGCGACTGTCAGTGCTAGCATGCTGTTCAACGAAAGGGCGAGAAGGAGAAAAAAACATGAAGAGCTAAGAACAATCTGACTCAACACACAAAAAAGCCCCTCATCATTACAGGTGTTGGGAGGCAGTGGGTGGGCAGAAGACAAACAGCGGCACGCGCTTGGTGTCATGTGGGATGAGTGTTACGCGATTCAATGGGAATAGGCTGGCCTATCAATGATGAGTAAGGATTGGTGCAGACTTCTCTGTTGCAACAGTTCTTCCAGAATCGCTCTGTTCAAAGCGCAAGCACCACTCTCATCATGAGTCTTAAGTCGTGAGAAGTTTATCTCATGGCTACGGAGGGCATTTCCTTGATGTACATCGAGAAGGGACTCTTCGGCAGATTACCTTACCCGAAGTGTTGGTCTGTGCTGCTTAGGAGGTAGCAGCATACCTGAGCTCTCGGGCTTGTTTGCTGCTCGGATGCCTTTGCAAACTTTGCTACGCAGGCTGCGCATGCGTATGGGAGAAGGCTGTTGTTGTTGACTTTGTCATGCGGTGTAGCAGAAATGATTGTTTGACCCACCGTTTTGCCAGCACTGCCAAGAGTCAACCCAGTCCCATCACCCCTGAAGAGTTGCGTTCACTGTGCGTCGAAGGCGAGTGGAAGACACCGTGAATGGGTAACGACTGAATCTTGCTAAAGCGCTTGTGGGCAGGATGATTTCATGTGCAAAGATCTTCGAAGTGGTTCGGGGCGAGGAATGAGAGACGACAAATGTGAACACTGGGGCCGCCTCGGTGCAGGGCTTGCCTGAAAAGACCTGTCACGGAAGCGATGCAGAACCAGAAACTCTTTCAGCATCCTCCAAAAAATGTCAACATGCTCTGTAAAGCCAGGGTGGGGTGGGGTCGGGTGGGGTGGTGGGCGGGCGGGTCGGTGGCTGTTCAAAAACGCGTGCTCTGAAGCTCTTGGCATCATGATTCATGACCTCAGAGGATTGTTTGTACTTTGCACGGTTTAGGGCTGTATCTACGCAGGTAACTGCAACAGATCTCCAGTGCCAACGGTACATGGCTAACAACGGAGCACTGAACCAAAATGCTCTGTTGAACCAACAGACACTGTCACTGGTGCTGGCCATCCAGTACTGTGACCCCTTGCTTCAGAGCAAAGACAGGTACCCGTGTAGAGATGGGTGGCAATCGTTTGCGTGAAGTAGCAAGTCCATGTTGAGCTGGCCACTGATGGCATGGTATGGTCCGGGTGAGTTGAAGCCCAATGACAGCGATGGTATGGCATGGCTGCAATACCACTGTGGGACCCAGCGTGTCCAGAAACTGCTTAAGCTGATACGAGTGCATTCAATATTTGATGCACGTGATGACATGTGATTTCGAAGTGGGTTGTCACCGTTCTAATGTGTTGTTGCAGGTTGAGTTGGTTGTGTTATTGTAGCCTCTGAGATTGACGTCTTGAATTGAATTTGCAGCACAGAAAGTGTCCCAGAATACACTGCTCCCTGAAGCTTCTGAACAGGATGAGGACTGGCGTCATGATTAGCATTATTTAAGGGCTGCCGCCGCTG